CCCACATCATGGCTTAATCTCGGACCAAATAGGAAGCCTCACTTGGTTATTCTGTCAAAAACAAGCTGTTGGGGCTGGGGTTGTGGACAGTGGCAGAGCACCTGCCTAGCATGTGTGAGGCACTGGGTTCGATCCTCAGTACCACAAAAAAAATAAATAAAAAAATAAAGTTACATCAACAACCAAAGAATATTTAAAAACAACAAAAGAAAAAAAACTGTTACCACCTCCAACTACCCTAAGGTACTCTATGCTCTTGTCCTCGTTGATTTTCTTCACAGAACTTATCACTATTGCCAGGCGTAGTGGCACACGCATGTAATCCCAGTGGCTTGGGAGGCCAACAGGAGGATCACGAGTTCAAAGCCAGCCTCAACAACAGTGAAGTGCTAAACAACTCAGAACCTGTCTCTAAATAAAATAAAATAGGGCTGGGGATGTGGCTCAGTGGTTGAGTGCCCCTGAGTTCAATCCCTAGTAACCCCCCTCCAAAAAAAAAAAAAAACCTGATCACTGTAAAATTATCTTATTATTCACCTCCCTTACTGGGATTACAGGCATGTGCCACCATGCTCGTTGTTTTTTGTTTGTTTTTGTTTTGTTTGTTTGGTGCTGGAGACCACAAGACCACTAGTACCAAAAGGAACAGAGTTTATCTATAATAAACTGCGTGTGTTATCTCCAGCCCTTACCTTTGAGCTCCAGACCTGTGTATGTAATTGTCTACTCACCATTTGGAAGCATTTGGATACCCTGCAGATTCAGTAAGTTCTAAACAAAATTTGGTCCTGCCTGCTTGCCCTGCCTCCCACCCTGAGGTAGCTGGCCTCATTAAGCATAATGTACCCAGTAATAAACATGAAGAACCTGGAATCACCCTTGATTCTTCCTCCTGTGCTCCACCAACCTAGCTAATCATACCTCAGACTCTTTCCTTTTTTTGGCCCTTGTCCAAGCTAGGCCACCCACACCAATAGGTCTTACTGAACTCACTGCATTAGCATAGCTTTTCTCACATCCAGCAAGTCCAGTTCCCTGTCCCTATTTTTTTTTTTTTTTCCCCTAGTGCTAGGCATTTAAGCCAGGCTTTGCACAACTAGGTAAGTGCTCTGCTACTAAGCTATGTCTCCAGCCCCCTGCCCCATCCATTCTTTTTTGGGGGAAGGTGGTCCCAGGGATTGAACTCAGGAACACTCAACTACGGAGCCACATCCCCAGCCCTATTTTGTATTTTATTTGGATTAGAGACAGGGTCTCACTGAGTTTCTGCCTCACTGTTGCTGAAGCTGTCTTTGAACTCGAGATCCTTCTGTCTCAGCCTCCCAAGCCACTGGGATTACAGGCATGTGCCACTGCATCTGGCTTCCATTCTTTTTGTTTGTTTGTTTGTTTTCAATGTAGATAGACTACATTGATACCCAGGATGATATTTTTCCAAAACAAATCTGTAGCGGTCATCCTTCACTCTAAAGCCTGTTAGTGGCTTCTTGATGCTTAGAATAAAACTTCAAATATCCTTATTTCCAACAAAGTTCTTGTCTGACTTCCATCTACTTCCCTAAATTCACCTCTTGCTCTTACCTTTGTCCTTTGTACTCCAGTCTCATGGTATCCTATTGCCTAGTTAAAGGTGAGACCTTGAACTCACATATACACTTTGGTATATGTATCTTGAAATAAATGGTCCTAATGAAGAATTTGAAGTCAGACCAGGTGTGGATGTGCACACCTTAATCCCATTGATTTTGGAGACTGAGGCAGAAGATAGCAAGTTTGAGCCCAGTCTTGGAAATCTGGCAAGACCTTGTCTCAAAATAAAAAATTAAAAGGGCTAGGGATATAGTTCACTGGTAGAGTACCCCTGTGTGAAATCTTCAGTACTTGGGAGATGGGGAAATGACAGCACCTGTTTAAGAATCTAAGCTTTTAAAAGCTGGAAATAAAAATGAATATAGAAGAAAACAACCAAAAGACTTGTTTGTTGAATCAGACCACAACTGAGAGGGAAAAAAAAAGCAACTAGACTCTGATTGAGAGATGTTGCTCTAGTTAACAGTGACAACCATCCAGCCTTTAAAGATCAAGAATGCTTCGGAGGACTTGCAAACTCAGGAGGTAAGCCCTGCAGTTCTGCAAGAGGTTTCCCAGGGAGGAATGGTGAGTTAAATCTTGGGGGAAACTCCCACCAGTTCCTTCTCCTGGAGGGAGAGAGAAATAACCAAGAAGGAATAGCTGGAAAGGGAGCAGCATCAGCACCTGTCAAAGCAGCGAGAAAAGAGGTTACCTGAAATGCTAAATATTTCAACCAACTAGGGGGTGTGAATGTGTACAGGAAAACAAGATAAAAGTTATTTGGTGCCTGGCATGGTGGTGCACACCAAAGAGGCTGAGGCAGGAGGATCATAAGTCAAAGGCCAGTCTCAGCAAATTAGCAAGGCCCTAAGCAATTTAGCAATACTCTGCCTCAAAAAAAAAAAAAAAGAGAAAAAGAGGGGGTGCTGGGGATGTGGCTTAAGTGGTGGAGTGCTTGCCTAGTATGCGTGAGGCACTGGATTCGATTCTCAGCACCACATAAAAAAAATTTAAAAATAAAGATATTAAAAAAAAAAAGAAAAAGAAAAAATAACACTGGCTGGGGATGTGGCTCAGTAGTAAAGTGCTCCTGGGTTCCATTCCCAATACAAGAAAGGAAAAGAAAAATGTGGTGCAAAAATGATAATGACATAGAGGTGACATTGGGAAGTTTTGCCCCTTTTTCTGTCCATCTCTATTCCAGGCCCTGCATGCCATCCCCAGCCATATTAACACTTTTTTAATGCAAATATAAGCAAATAAATATATAAGTTAGGGAACAAGGCCTTTTGATTTGTCTTTTAGAGGAAGTTATTGATGATCACTGAGTATGATTTGGAGGAAGGGGAGAGGGCAGAAGTTTTATTGAAGTGCTAAGGATTAAAGCAGAGAGTAGAATGAATTTGTTGAGCCCCAATTGTCCCAGACAGTGAGTGAGCCAGGGACCCAGCATCTTTTCTTGCCTTCACACCTCACTGCACTCCTGGGATCATCAGCCACATTTTGCAGGTGAGATGACCAAAGTGCCAAAAGATTTAAGTAACTTGCCCAAATATAGGGTAGTGCAAGTAACAGCAAATATGGGGTAGTGCCAGGAATGGTTGAAGAGGAAACAGCCAGAAAAAAAGAGGACTTTACATTAAGGAGATACCAGGGCAAGCTGTAACAGAGCAAGGGCCTGCCACGGAGCCAAAGGGGTCCTCAGTTACTGGTTCTTGTGATCGTGCCAGAAAGATGTTAGACATGTCACACAGAGTAGCAGGCATAATTTTATTAGAAAAGGTAGAAGGGGAAAGAGGATATTTAAGGGAGAAGTGGATCCTGTCAAGAGAGGAAAGAGAGGGCACACCCCTCCTGTCTACAGTTTTATTGGGGGGAGGGGTCCCAGAAAGTTTCCAGACAGTTCCATCCAGGTCAATTTTTACTTGATTGTGTCAGACTTCCAAATCCCCACTGGGCATGGATGGTAAAGCTCCAAGGCAACTCTGAATCACTTTGGCCCATGCTGACTGGTTCTAATTGTCACATCTCTCCCAGTTCTGGAATCTTGTGTAAGGGTCATGAAATTTACCCTTACCCGCTTCCTTGTAACTTGTGTTCTCATTAGTAGACAGCAGCCTTTCAGACCTGCATTTCTCTTGCAGATAACACATTGTTTGCTGAGGAACATAACATATCCTGTGGACTTAAGCCAGGCAGGACAGTGGGTAAATTGCTTTTTTAAAAGAAAGCTCTTGATTATCTCCTTGACCTCATATTCCCACCACTCATGATTATTACCTATTAAAGTGATGATGTTTCTTTTTCCTTTTTTCTCTGTGTTTGTGTGTGTGAATGTTACTGGAGATTGACCCCAGGGGTTCACTGAGCTCTATCTCTAGCCCTTTTTATTATTATTACGTGGTGGCCCAAGTAATCCCAGTGATTTGGGAAGCTGAGGCAGGAGGATCTCAACTTCAAGGCCAGCCTCAGCAGTTTAGCAAGACCCTGTCTCAAAATAAAAATAAGAGTAAAATGGTAGAGCACCTCTGGGTTAAATCTCCAGCACTCCACCCCACCCCCACCCCCACCCCCACAAGTTCCCTCCAGCAAAACTCGTTCTCTACAGCTCAAAAGGAGAGGCAAAAGAAGACCATGATGGTGAGCCCAAGTAACTGGTAGTCTTCTCTGATGGATGACCAAGGGTTTTTGTTTGTTGTTGTTGTTTTGTTTCTTTTTTAGCAGAACCAGGGATAGAACCTGGGGGCACTTTACCACTGAGCTACACCCTCAGCCCTTTAGATTTTTGAGAAAGTGTTCCACTAAATTGTCCAGGCTGGCCTCTAGCCTCAGCTTTGCGAGCTGCTGGGACTGGAAGAGAAAGGTGCTCTAGCCCGGGGGGGTGGGGGGGGGGGGGGGGGGGGAGGATGGTGTGACCTGGGCATAAGTGAGCGCAGGGTCCAAAGAGGGGCGGACCTGGGTTTCAGGTCCTGCCATGCTTACTGGCTGGGTGACTCTCAGCCGGTCTTTCAGCTTCTTTCACTTCCCTCATGAGGAATCTGGCAGAAATCCATTTTTTAATCGCATTTTGGCACAAGGGGCCCACTTGGTACACAACAAATGTCAAAGTTCCCTCGTTCATCTTTGTTGCTGCTTGGAAAGGCGCTTGGTGCCTTGCAAGCAGCAGGAATGAAGTAGGGTGTTCGGAGTATAACGGGCATCACTGAACTGCGGACTCCACCCACACTCTTAAAAGCAGATCTTAGTGTGCCTTTTTCGGATGGAAAAGTCGTGGTGCAGAGAGGCTCAYGGTTCTCTTAAACGAAGAAAAACGCCGCAACCCTACGTGGCCAAAGCCTTGGAATCCTCCAGTGGCCCCAGCGCTCAGAATCCCAGGGGGCGGGACCACGCGGAGGAAGTCCCACCCCGGTGAAGGAAGTCACGCCCTCCCGCTTCCGCTCCTGCACGTCTTGACTCCTCTCGTGGTGTCGCTTGTTGGGGATGGCGGCGGGAGGCGACCATGGCGCGCCTGACAGCTACCGCTCACCGCTTGCTTCCCGCTACGCCAGCCCCGAGATGTGCTTTGTGTTTAGCGACAGGTACAAATTCCGGACGTGGCGGCAGCTCTGGCTGTGGCTGGCAGAGGCCGAGCAGGTAAGGGTCCCAGGACTGAGGGCCGGGCGGGCAGAGGTGGCTCCACTCCAGCACGTGCTGGGCGGGGCGCCGAGTGTGGGCTTGGCCGGCGAGCCAGGGCCCGGCTATTTTAGGTCACTGTTCTCGGAACTGCGGCCCCACGTGGACAAGGGCGGGAAGCCTCGGAGCTGCACCTGTTGCCTCCCATCCTTAGTTCTGGGAGTTTGATGCGCAGAAGAGCGATGGGAAATTCAGTGTGTCCTCTCAGGGAATGCTACTGGGCCATTCCTGCTGCAGTCCACCTCTGACTGCGCTCGCTGAAACTCACTGCCTACCATAAAAGACCCTGTAAGCTTAGTAGAGGTGTCTGCTAATTGCACCAGAGAAAAGCCAAACCTGGAGCTCGCCTGGTCTGCAGTAGGCCCCCCAGCTATTAAGAGCGGAGCTGGGATTTGGACCTGGGATAAGTCCCGAGCCTGAACTGAGCGTTTAAACCATTTCATCTTCCATAGTGCTTGTGAAGTAAGCGACAACACTAGAATCTGTGTTTTCTAGGCCACTCTTTCCAGTTCACTGGACTCTGCTTCGCCTCTGAGAAGGGAAGATCCGGGTAGGAGTTTATTAGATGCGATTTATGGTTTCTTTTATTCAGGCAGCATGTACACCTACTCAAACCGTGCGTTTCAGAAATAAGTTCAGAGCGGCCTTCCCACAAGAGATGAAGGAAACTGAAAGTGATCCAGAGAGCTGTAATGTTTCTTCTCAAGTTTCAGAGTAAACTGCCACCACAAGCAAGGTTGCAGTATCCTCGCAAAGGGCAAAGTAAAAAACGGAACAGTCTGGTTAGTGCCTAGGACCTTAGAACCTGGAACTCCCCAAACAGGAAACTTTGATCCTAGATTCCCTGCCTAGCCCCCATCACTGTGCTTCAAACATCAAATGATATACTTATGGCAGACATTCATGAGGTGCCTTCTGTGTCCCAATCGCTGCTCCAATTTTGTGTTTTCCCTGTAAAAACCCCAAATAAGACTACATTTTGTAGCCCATGAAGCCCCAAAACAACCTTGTAGGGGAAGTATTATTAGCCAGTTCATGTCTGAGGGAATACAGGTATTGAGAGATTTATGAACTATTGGCTCAGATAATAGTAAACAGTAGGACCTTAATCATGAGTTGTGCTTTGGGATATACTGTATATACTCTTCTTGTTGGATATTCCATTCTGTATATGAGATTGATAGCAGTCCTTTTGCGATTGATAGCAGTCCTTGAAACCATTTATTATCTAGTCTACACATTGTCTGAATGCATGTAGTTTTTGATCTGGATTATTTGTTAGAGTAACTAAATTAGCAGCATTAGTTACATCATTACTTAAGTGATTGAGAGGAAAAAACACTAAGGAAAAACCACTGGGAAATGAATGACCAAGAGGAATGCAGAAAATTGCAGTAGAGAAGAAAGTACAAGTTTTGACAAGATACATTGCTTGTCTTTAAATGTCTGCCCAAAAAAAAAAAAAAAAAAAAAAAAGTGTGGGAGAGAAAGCACATGTCCATAGTGTGTCTCCCTCCTGTTTTACTTAAAAAGGAACCCTGAGATGTCAAATCTAGTGACGATCTAGGTCTCAGGCAGTTCTGCTACATATGGTCACTGAACTCTTGAAATGTGGCTAAGAACTGAATTCTTTTTTGGTACTTGGGATTGAGCCCAGGGGTGTTCTCCTACTGATTCACATCCCCAGTCCTTTTTCTTTTTTATTTTGAGACAGGATCCCACTAAGTTGCTTAGGGCCTCATTAAATTGCTGAGCCTGGTCTCCAGTTTGTGATCCTCCTGCTTCAGACTCCCAAACTGCTGGGGCTATAGGAATCTGCCACCACACCTGTCAGGCCTTGTAAATTTCAAGTGAGATTTGAATAACTTCATTATTATGAATCCAGGGTTCTGAATGTGGATGATCACCTTTCCTCACTACTACCCTCCCCGGGGTGGGATGGGGGATTTCTTAAATCTATCTCTTTTTTTTTTTCTGCCCCCTGCTTTTTGGGTAGCCTAATTTTTCCAGTGATAGATGAATGTAACATGTAAATGTGTTTATTTTCTCATTGCTATCTCCTGGAATTGCTTTCAGCTGTACTGAATTTGTTCTACATAATTTGTTGGTGAAGTTTATAGAATACTTAATTTTGGTTTCTCTGAGTTAATCCATCTAGGTTAAATGTAAATGTACCACACTTACTTATCCTTATTTAAACCTTAAGGATTAAATAATAAATAAAACAGAGCTCTACTTGAGGGCAGTATGGTGGTATACTCCTCTATTCCAGCATTAGGATCCTTTGAGCCCAGGAGTTTAATACTAGCCTGGGCAACATAGTGAGATCCTGTCTTTAAAAAAAATAAAAATAAAAATCAAACCCAGAAAAACAAAGTTTTCCTCTCACAGAGTATACATATATTCTAGATTGGGAAGACAGTAAGTATGTAAAAAATGTTATGTGGTGATAACTGTTACAAATAAACCAGGCCAAAAGATAGAGTGACACAAAGGTGTTTTACAGTAAAGTCAGAGAAGACCTCTGAGTAAATGACAGTTGAGCCCAGAGGCTGGCACATAGGAGGCAGTAAGCCAAGAAGAGGTGTAGGGACAGAGGGAACAGTCAAGATCAGGATTGTTTTATATATTGGCATTTAGTTAGGATATAATTTACCTTGATTTATTGACAAAGTTCTTTCACACAGTACTCCTTCCCCATTCCCCTCTCCCCCTGTTTACTTTTAGGTTGGTTGCCCCAGATTTTAATTTGAGAATTGGGTGGTAGGTTATCACTAGCATTTTTTTTTTCAATGTCACTTCAAGTAATTGTGACACTGAGGTTGTTTGACTTTATTTTGCCTCTTCTGCAGACATTGGGTTTGCCTATAACAAATGAACAAATCCAGGAGATGAAATTAAACTTGGACAACATTGACTTTAAGATGGCAGCTGAAGAAGAGAAGCAGTTGCGACATGATGTTATGGCTCATGTACATACATTTGGCCACTGCTGTCCAAAAGCTGCAGGCATTATTCACCTGGGTGCCACCTCCTGCTATGTTGGAGACAACACAGTAAGAGCCCATGTTGTTTATACTTAGGACTTTGTCTTTACAATGCATGTATAGATTTTAATTTTCCAAAGCATTCTTCTTTCTTTTATAAATTTGCTGTGGCTTTAGAAAAGAAAGGACTATAACTGTTAAGTGAAACCCTTAACTAGTAAAGCCATCTTATAATCAAACATGGAAAAGTAAAAGCAAGTATTTTCCTGAGAGTTCACTAGGTACCATGCCCTATTCCGACCACATTATAGGTTTTATTTTATTTATTTATGCTTCACAACCACCATAAGAGATAGATGCTATTATTTCCATTTTTAGACAACTTTTCTCAGTTTTAAAAACTCAGTGAAGTTTACCATTTTAAATGTACAGTGAGTGGTAATAAATTAATGCATTTGCTCGGCCGTCACCACACACTGGTTTCTGAGTACATCTCCCAGGAGTTCTTTCCTGCCAGTTTGCAGTCAGTCCCTATTCCTCCCTCCTATCCCAGAAAACCACTGACCTGCCTTCTGTTTCTGTTTTATTCAGCTTTTTGCTCCTGTGACTAAAAAACCCTACCAGCACAATTGTAGAGAAAGAAAAGTTTATTTGGAGGCTTAAGGTTTCAGAGGTCTCAGTCCATAGACAGCAAGCTCCATTCCTTGGGGCTTGTGGTGAGGCAGGACATCATGGTGGAAGAGTGTGGCTCAGGGAAGCAGCTCACTTGATGATCAGGAAGCAGAGAGAGATCTCCACTTGCCAAATACAAATAATATATTTCAAAGCCATGCCCCCCAGTGCTTTAACACCTCCAGCTACCTTGTCTGCTTTCAGTTACACTCAATTAATCACATCAGGATTAATTAACAGATTTGGTTAAGGCTCTTATAACCCAATCATTTATCCTCTAAACCTTCTTGCATTGTCTCACACATGAGCTTTTGGGAGACACCTCGCATCCAAACCATAACAGTCTCTATAGTTTTGCCCATTACAGAGATTTTATACAAATGAAATTGTGCCTATAGCAAAGAATAAAAGGGGGGCGTGGCTCAGTGGTAGAGTGCTTGCCTGGCATGTGTGAGGCCCTGGATTTGATCCTCAGCACCACATATAAATTAAAAAAAAAAAAAAATCCACTGACAACTAAATAATATATATATTTTTTTAAGAGAGAGAATTTTTAATATTTATTTTTTAGTTTTCAGCGGACACAACATCTTTGTTTGTATGTGGTGCTGAGGATCAAACCTGGGCCGCACGCATGCCAGGCAAGCTCGCTATCGCTTGAGCCACATCCCCAGCCCCACTAAATAATATTTTTAAGAAATAAATAAAAAGTTCTGGGGACATGGCTCAGTGGTAGAGWACCCCTGGGTTTAATCCTTAGAAACACACAAAAAAAATGTGGGCTGGGGATGTGGTTCAGTGGTGGAGCATTTGTCTGGCAAGCATGGGCCCTAGGTTTGATTGCCAGCAGCACAAAAAAAAAAAAAAAAGAAAAGAAAGAAAGAAAAAGAAATTTGAGGAAGAAGCCAGTAACTTAAATTGCTGTCAATACTTTGACCCTTCCTCATGCTGGAAAGGAACTCACATGTTAAGCAAGTACCCTACTGCTAAGTTACATCCAGCCCACTTACAGGCATCTATGTAATTGGTCAGATAATAGAAAAACAGTCTTCTTGGAAAGATTCTTTTTAAAAATGTGCCCATTGTAGGGCCGAAGTGCAGCCTAGTCAAGGCTGGATTTAGTCCCCAGTACCCACAAAAAAATACCCAGTGTGTAGCTGGTCTCAGCAGTTATTGTCATGTATAAGCATGTGTTGGAGTTGTCTGAAATACATCTCTAATCTCCCTCAGGAGCAGCTTTAAGTTTTCTATCTTGATGTTCTAGTCTGTGCCTTTCCTTGTTAGCAACTATGGTTAGAAAAAAGGAGGAGAATATTAGTAGAATGGGAACATATGGGAGTTTCTGAGAGCCTCAGGCAATCCTCTGAATAGATACAAATACATTGACTTGCACATTTTTTAGTCATTTGTAGATACAACATACATATAAGTATAAAGCTTCTGCTACAGTGAATCCCGGAAGTCCTACTGTGCATTTGAAACAATGATCTGAAAAGATCCACCTTTGTTAGCATCTTCTGGCATATACAGTGGGTTGCTAAAGGTGATTTAGTTGCTAGCTAAGAAACCCAGCTGTGATGGCCAGAAAGTGTTAGGTAATAATACTGTTTGATAAAGCGACATTGTATTTTTCTTTGCAGGACTTGATTATTCTTAGAAATGCTTTTGACCTGCTTTTGCCGAAGGTAAGAGATGGGCAGATGTTTCCTGCCAGCTCTCAATTTCCCTCTGACAAGAGATGGGAAATTATATTACAAAACATAATACTAATCTCATCATTTTCTCAGGTGAATGTTCCCATATTGAATGTGTAGAGCTAATTGTCTCTTGAGTTAAAACAATGTAAGTGAATACTTTTTAAAGCATAGGCTTTTAAATGAAGGAAGTAAGGAGAGGCATGTTGCTGGAATATAGGTAAGGATCATGATTTTATTCTGTTTTTCTACAGTTGACAAAATAGTTTGTGACTTTTTAGGTAATCAGTTTGTTTTTTGTCTTATTTTGTTGTTTGGGKTTTTTTTAAGTGTTTGGGATTGAGCCCAGGGCCTGGCACATGTTAGGCATACACTCTACTGCTGAGCTATATCCCTAACTCCTTTTATTTTTTATTTTATTTTGAGATGGGGGTCTCCTAAGTTGCCCAAACTGGCCTGGAATTTATAATCCTCCTGCCTCAGTCTCCTAAGTCACTGGGATCAAAAGTGTGCACTGCCACACCTGGCTTCAACCCAGGTTTTTGTTTGCAGTCCTAGAGATTGAAACCAGGGGCTCTTTACCATTGAACTATAGCCTCGGCCCTTTTTATTTTTTATTTTGAGATAGTCTCACTAAAGCCTAGGCTGGCCTTAAATTTACAATTCTCTTGTTTCAGCCTCCTGGGTAGATGGGATTACAGGCATGCGCCACTGTACCTGGCTCAACTCAGTTTTTTGATTGCTGATGGTTATGATCACAGATCAGGGCACTTTAGATTATGAAAATGAAAAAGTATGGATGCCAACTTTCATGAGTTGGAGGTCTAATTTTATGTAAAGTCATCTAAAAGTGTAGTTCTTAATTGTGTGATGAAGTCGTGAATTCACCATTTTTCCACCACGTGGTCTCTTTTGTAGCTTGCCAGAGTGATCTCTCGGCTTGCCGACTTTGCTAAGGAACATGCCAATCTGCCTACCTTAGGTTTTACACATTTCCAGTAAGTGACAAGATTACTTCTTGGGAATTGGATTTCTTATGTGTATATGGATTTCAGTTAAAAGGGAGACTTTGGATTTGCCTATTCTAGACATTTCATATAAGTGGAATCATTTACAATGTGTTACCTTTTGTGACTACCTTCTTTCATTTAGCCTAATTTTTTCAGTTTTCATTCATTTTGTAGCATGTGTCAGAACTTCATTTCTTTTTCTAGCCAAATAACATTGCATTGCATGGATAGCCCACATTTTGTTTACCTACTCATCAGTTGATAGGTATTTGGTTTGTTTCTACCTTGAATAATGGTAGAATAATGCTGCTGTGAATAAGTCTATGAAATTAATTTGTTTGTTTATACCAGTAATCTATTAGCAGGAGTTAACAAGAACAAATACCATGAGATTAACTTGGGGGTGCTGTAGCTTGTGAGAAGCCTACTATAGACCTTAATAGTGCTGTGCCTTGATGTCACTAGCTGTCAGTATCCAGAAGTTCCACTTGGAATGGGGTAGGATCTCTATTAGAACTTGGACATATTGCAGCATGATCATATTTTATGTTCAGAAACAAACCATGAGTACATTGATTTAGACTTCAGAAATAAAGCCATTGGTTGTTATGTTAAGAGTCCTTTCTCCATAGCATGCTTGCCCTCACAAAGGCTGCTTTTACTACCAATCCAAGGTAGCCTTCTCCAGTGTCATTCTCTCTCTAGGGGTGAGGGGGTCTGGGGTGGATACTGAGGATTAAGCTCAGAGGTGCTGTATCACTAAGCTGCATCCTTTTTTGTTTTTATTTATTTATTTTTTAAATATTTTTTTAGTTGTAGATGGACATATTATCCTTATTTTATTTATTTATTTTTATGTGATGCTGAGGATCAAACCCAGTACCTCACACATGCTAGGCAAGCGTTCTACCACTGAGCCACAACTCCAGCCCCATTCTTTTTTATTTTGAGACAGGTCTCAAAAGGCTGGCCTTAAACTTGGTGATCCTGCTCAGCCTCCTAAGTAGCTGGGATTTCAGGCATGCTGCCTGACTTTATTCTGCTAATTTGTTCCTCCCTGTACCTGCCTGGAATGGCCTCAAGCTTCCACTGGCAACTTAGTCTACAGGGATGTCCCCTACTACTTTGGTGAAATGTTTCCCTTAGTGTTACATAGCTCTGCATTTCACTTCCCCCAAGGTATAGAGTAGATGTGTCCTGCTGCCTGGTCCCAGCTTCCCTCCTTGATATTCACAGTGACTCCCTGGAAACAAAATGACTCTCTGCAAGTTGAAGTTCTTGTAAAGGGACTAGTTTCTTTCCCTACCAAGCAAGAGGAATTTTTTTTCCTTGTTATTTTGGGAAACTTTTTGTGTTGCAGACTAGAACTCCAGAGTCCATTGTTTGCCCTGGCTCTGTCAGCTGGAAGGGAACTGCCCAGATTCAGTTCCTTAGGAAAGAGCCACTTGGAAATTCTCTGGGCTTCTTTGAATTTGTACACTAATAGCAATATAACTGGAGGCCCTCGGGAGCCTTCAGGATCCTCCTTAATTATTATTTGCTCAAACTTTTAGCTCTAGTTTTGTCTTCACTGGTTTTGTCAACTCTTAACTTTTTGTCAACCAGCTTCCAAGAGGTAATGGCTGCTGGAGATGTTTGGGCACACCTGTAATCTCAAATAGCTTGGGGTCTGAACAACGAGATTTCCAAGTTTGAGGCAAGCCTCAGCAACTTAGTGAGACCCTATCTCAAAATAAAAAAGAAAAAGGGCTGGCAATGTGCCTCAGAGGTAAAGCATCCCTGGGTTCAATCCCCACTACCAAATAAAAGAGATAATGGCTCATTAGAAGAAGAAATGAAGTCTTTGTCAAGGTAGACTTTGGTGTGAGACCTTCATGTGTTCTCTTTGGGTTGTTTTCAGGCCTGCCCAACTGACCACAGTTGGAAAACGTTGCTGTCTTTGGATTCAAGATCTTTGCATGGATCTCCAGAATTTGAAGCGGGTCCGTGATGACCTGCGCTTCCGTGGAGTGAAGGGCACCACTGGCACTCAGGCTAGCTTCTTGCAGCTCTTCGAGGGAGATCACCAAAAGGTATTCTGAAAGTGACCTGGGAAATGCATAGACTTGTTAGTGACAGCCCAAGAAATAAGGCTGGCCTCCAGAATGGATGGAGATTGATCCCAGAATAGTCTGTAAGGAAGTCCAAAGGCCAAGGCAGGATGGATTGTTGATGTACACTCACACTGGACTCCTGAGTTTCTATTGGGATGTGTCTTTTCTCTCCAAGGTGGAGCAGCTGGACAAGATGGTGACAGAAAAGGCAGGGTTTAAGAGGTAGGTATGTGGGGAAAGTGTCGGCCTCTCAGATAAGTTGATAACAGGCCTGTATTCATTTTACTAATAATTTGATAGTTACTTTTCTGGCCTTTTTTCTCTTAGTTCTACCCATTTTCTTCAATCTCTGACCTGGGTTTTATTTTCTTATGACCTGAATTATTTTTTAATGTTTTTCTTTGCAGTATAGAGAAGTAAACTTAAGGCCACATTCATGCTACACATGTGCTCTGCTGAATTATACCTGCTGTCCTGGATTCTCTTTTCTTTCAATTTGCAAGAAAAAAGGAAACTATTTATTTCTGAATTCTTCAGAATAGCCTTCTCTTCTTTGTTTCTTTCCTGGGGACTTCAATGGGTTAGTCTAAACCTGACCATTTCAACTGAGGTCTAGTAGGCTCCATGGCTGCTTCTGCCAGATATTTCCTTCAAGCTTTGGCAGAATATGGGCACACTAGGTCACATTCTTCATTGGGTAAGGACAGCTTCCTAAGGACTAGTAAAAAGGGTGAAACAACAGTTTGTTCAGGAGCAGTTTACTGGTTTACTGGTCAGGTCCTCTGGGTTCAGTGGGACTGAGCACACTACGTGGTATCTCCATGTTGCCTAGTATCTGCTTTTGTTTGTTGAAGAGTCATGTTTTGAGGTTATAACAAATCTGTTTTCTATTTATATCTAGGGCTTTTATCATCACAGGGCAGACATACACACGAAAAGTAGACATTGAGGTGTTGTCTGTGCTGGCTAGCTTGGGAGCATCAGTGCACAAGGTGAGATTTACCATGAAATGGGAGCTTTGGACACCTTAGCAGACTGAATCATCTTCAGACTTTCACCCAATCCTGCCTCTCAATCATACTTCAATTTTAATAATTTGGGACCTGTAAACGGAGCCCTTATATTAAGGGGTGTCAAAGGGAAAGAGTAGTGTCAGCATTCTCTTTAGAGTGACTTCAGTACTGGACATGGTGGCACATGCCTGAAAACTACTCAGGAGGATTGCAAATTCAAGACTAGCCTTAGTAACTTATTAAGACCTAATATCAAAAAATAAAAAGGGCCAGGAATGTAGCTCAATGGTAGGGAATCCCTGGGCTCAGTACCATAAAAAAGAAAAAGCACTTATTGCAAGGATTGTAAAATGTCCATCTCTTTGAGGTTTGTGTTAAGATTAATCTTGCCATTGCCATTCCAAGATGTCTTAAGTAGTGCTTCACAACAGCATTCCCTGCTCCTTTAACTTGTCATTCCAACAAGCCTGAGTGAGATGCTCCCAGGAGCTGTTGGGTAGGGCGTGGCATTCAGTTCAGCATTGGCACACATAAAGAGCTCACCTCTCCAGACTCATCCCACCTCCTACCTTACTGTCCTGTGTACCGAACATGTGAAATGATGCCTGTTCCTCTGCTTTCCTCCAGATTTGCACTGATATACGCCTCCTGGCAAATCTCAAGGAGATGGAGGAGCCGTTTGAAAAACAGCAGATTGGTGAGTGTTAGGTGGAGACCTGGGAGCATCACAGCTGCTGCAGAGGCATATGAACATGTGCTAAGAGCTCACCCAGAGGCAGGCACCCTGTCCTCTGAAGTCTTTCTGCCTTTGCATCTTGTTGTCTTACATGGACAGGCTCGAGTGCGATGCCATACAAGAGGAACCCCATGCGCTCAGAACGTTGCTGCAGCCTTGCCCGTCACCTGATGACCCTTCTCATGGATCCACTGCAGACAGCTTCTGTGCAGTGGTTTGAACGCACACTGGATGATAGTGCCAACCGGTCAGTGACAGGGATGTTATAGTGTGTTGTGAATAGGACAAAAGAATGAGCCTGTAAGCAAAAGGATAAATATTTGAGTTTGGCATGGTGGCACATCTATTATCCAAGCTACTCAGGAGGCTCAGGCAGGAAGATCACAAGTTTAAGGCCAGGCTGGGCAATTTAGGGAGACCTATCTCATTATCAGTTAGACTTGGGACGTAGCTCAGTGGTAGAACACTTGCCTAGCATGTATGAAACTCTGGGCTAAATCTGCATTACTAAAAAATAAACTAAAAAGGACATATTTGAGCACCTCTGAAATCTCCTAGCGAGGGCTAAGGGTGTGGCTTAGAGATAAAGCATTTGCCTAGCATGCACAAGGCTCAGTCCATCTGCAGGACTGCAGTGAAGAAAAAAAACAAAGAACAATGTGAGCTGGGTATGGTGGTGGATGCCTGTAGTCCTGGCTACTCAGGAGGCTGAGGATTGCTTAGGAATTTGAGGCCAGCCTGGACAACAGGTAGACACCCTATCTCAAAGCCAAAAATAATGTGGTGTTAATGATTTAATGTATACAGGGTACTTTTGGAGGAAAGAGGAGGGAATAGTGTTGGCAGAACAAGGAAAAGTTTCAGACTTTTCTTTGAGGGCGGTGGGGGGTGGAGACACTAGTGATTGAACTTGGGCATTTTACCACTGAGCCCCATCTGAACCCCCAAATCCCCCCTTCTTTTTTTTTTAAGAGAAGGTCTCACTAAGTTGCTGAGGCTGGCCTCAAACTTGTGATCCTCCTGCCTTAGCCTCTTGGCTCACTACGATTACAGTTGTGCACTTCTGCACCTGGCTGGCTTCAAACATTTAAGACAAGATAAGAATCATGTTTAAAGGCTAAAGGCAGGAGAAAGAACACCTTAAGTTACTAATAGCTGGGTAGCACTGAGGATTGAAGTCAAATGTGGTAGGATGCAGGACAGGATTACAGACAGTAGCCAGTTTATGGAGGGCCTCATAGGCTCTGTGAACTAATAGCAGATAATGGTTAATGAGTGTTAGAATCTAAAATCATAACAACATTTTTATTAGTCATATGATGGGTCAGAAGGAGTTTATAAATACCTATAAGGTACCAATATGAACATGGTTTTCTAGTATGCATCCAAAGCAGATTCACTCAGTACTCTTGTTGTTTGCATAATATTGGGATTTCTTGAGTGGAAAAGAATGTTGTAGTTAAAACTAGCTCATGTGAACTCCCTTCAGAAGTTAGCCTTTTATAAATTTGTCCTTTGCAATCTGAGGGGATTATTTTCAGGGCCCTTCATAGAAACCCCAGAAGCTCCAGTCCCTCATATAACATGGGGTAGTATTTGCATGGAACCTATACAGATACTTTAAATCATCTCTAGATTGCTTATAATACCTAATATAGTGTAAGTGCTATGTAAGTATTTGTTATACTGCATTATTTAGGGATTAATATCAAGAAAAAAAATATGTGTGTTCATACTGATGCCTTTTTTTTCTTTTTTGAATATTTTCCATCCAAAGTTGGCTGAATCCATGGGTGCTGCATGCTTGGTTACAGAGGTCAACTGTAATTTTTAGCAGGTGGTGACCTAATCTGATTTGCCTGCTAAGACACCTTGGCACAAATAGTAGAATCAGTCAGATCCTGTCAGAACAAGTTAGAAGGCTGCTTTAAAATTCCAAGCTCACCTTGGCACAGTGGCTATGTAAATGGAAAGAAAGGAGGTGGCAGAGTCAGGCAGCTGGGTGCAGTGGCACATTCCTATAGTCCCACGTGCTTAGGAGGCTGAGGGAGGATCATTGGACCTCACAAAGAATTCGAGCCAAGCATGGTGGAAATCCCAGCAGCTTAGGAGGCTGAGCCAGGAGGAACTCAAATTTGAGGCCTGTCTCACCAACTAGCAAGATTCTTAGTACCTAGTGAGACCCTGTCTTGAAACTAAAATAAAAAGGACTGGGGTTATGGTTCAGTGTTAAGAGTGTTCCAGGGTTCAATCTCCAGTATCCGATACCCCCCCAAACCCCCCCCCCCCTGCAAAAAGGCAGAGTGATTAGCCTTGGTGTTTGATTGGGGTTAATATAAAGAACTTGATGATTGGGATGACAGTGGCATTTACTGCAGGAGGAGCTCCAAGGGAGACAGCAGGTTTGCAGTAGGGAGGGGGCAATGAGGAGGAAGCTGAAGCTGGGGTTTGAGGTACCTGTGGATCAGCCAGGGGAATCTCTCAGATAAGGTCYGGCACTGGGGTGAGTGGTCTGGACTAGATGTGGTAGTTTTGAGGGTCATGGGGACATGGGGTGGGGGAAGTCACAGACTGATGAAGAAAACTGCCTGAACAGTACATACAGCATGAAAAGCCAGTGGGCACCTCTTTGGGACATGCCCAAGATATTGAATCTGTTTGTAGGGATAACTGAATGGCTGTTTGCTTTGTAGACGAATCTGTTTGGCTGAGGCATTTCTTACGGCAGATACTATATTGAACACATTACAAAACATTTCTGAAGGACTGGTGGTGTACCCCAAAGTAAGATGCCTGGATTAAAAGTAAAGTATTAGGGGGGTTGGAATGTGGGAAGGAGAGTTCTCTGGAGTGTGTGTTTGGGGTGAGTGTTGTATTCTCCTCCATAGGGTGTCTCTCTTACCTGGATCTGTTTTTTTTTTTAAGAGAATTTTTTAATATTTATTTTTGTTTTTAGTTATTGGCGGACACAACATCTTTGTTTGTATGTGGTGCTGAGGATCGAACCCGGGCCGCACGCATGCCAGGCGAGCGTGCTACCGCTTGAGCCACATCTCCAGCCCCTGGATCTGTTTTTTTGTTGTTGATGTTTTGTTTTGTTTTTTGTACCAGGGGCATTTAACCCCTGAGCCATATCTTCAGCCTGTTTTGATTTTGAGCCAGGGTCTCACTGAGTTGCCTAAGGCCTCACTAAGTTGCTTCTGAGGCTAGCTTTCAATTCGTGGTCCTCTTGCCTTATCCTCCAGAGCCTCTGGGATTATGGGTATGCACCATTGCACCTGGCTTACATTTCAATCTTATACTCAAGTTCTTAGAGTGGAGCACTGAATTATCAAGTTTGAGGTTTTAGGAGCTGTTCCTATGAAGCAGCTTCTGAAAATTAAGTTTACTTTGATTTTTAAAATCAAAGTAACTGGGTGTAGTGGTGCATGCMTGTAATTCCAGTTGCTCAGGAGGCTGAGGCAGGAGAATATCAAGTTCCAGTCCAGCCTGTGCAATTTAGTGAGACGCTGTCTCAAAAATAAAAGGGCTGGGGTTGTAGTTCAGTAGTAGATGATTTCTGGGTTCAGTCCCCAGTACTGAAATCAGTCGATCTCTGGATTTGGTGGGGGTGGAAGGGAGTTTTTTTTTTTTTTTTAAAAAAAAGTAAACAATACAGTTCAGAATAAAATAACTCATTTCTCTCCATCTGTAACTAATGGTAGTCCATGTCCCTGCTTTGTATTTTACTTGATGAAGTTGGTATCTTTCTATGTATATACCTTCTTGAGGTGTCTGTCTTGCTCATTCACCTTTTCTTTTCTTCTAGGTCATTGAACGGCGCATTAGGCAGGAACTGCCTTTCATGGCTACAGAGAACATCATCATGGCCATGGTCAAAGCTGGGGTTAGCCGCCAGGTGTGCAGCCCCTCATGCTCTTGGAAAAATTGAGAGTTTTGCTGTCTTCCCCTAGAAAAACTGTTGAAGGAAGGCTTTTCTTTCATGACCTTCTGTCATAGTATTGGCATAGAACAGAACAGTGACTATATTCATTCATTTGTTCATTAGTCCTTCCTTCCTTCCTTTCTTTCTTTTTTTTTTTTTTTTTTTTTTGGTATTGGGAATTGAATCCACGGGCACATTATCACTGAGCTACATCTCCAGCCCTTTTTATTTTTTTTTATTTTTAGACAGGATGTAAGTTGATTTAGAACTTACTAAGTTGCTGGGGCTGGACTTGAACCTATGCTCCTCCTGCCTCAGCCTCCCAAGTCATTGGGGTTATAGGAGTGTACCATCCATCGTTCCTGGCACAGTGACTATATTCTGCCATCTTTGGAAAGAGATTTTTATTAAAAAATGAATGTGGCTCAGTGGTATAGTGCTTGCCTAGCATATGTGAGGTCCTGGGTTCAATCCCCAGAAGCACCAAAAAAAAAAAAAAAAATCTCTTGCCTGGTATGGTGGTACATTCCTATAATCCCAGTGGCTCAGGAGGCTGAGGTAGGAGGATTGCAAGTTCAATGCCAGCCTCAGCAATTTAACAAGATATATCTCAAAAAATTTAGAAAGGCTGGGGATATAGCTCAGCTATAAACACCCGTAAAGTTCAGTCCATAGTACTGAAATTTTTTTGTAGAAAAAGATCAACCTTAGTGAAGGAATTAGGTCTGAGTTTCCGTAGGAAGTGAGCAGGAAGCAAGAGCAAAAATTTCATGAGGGTTTTGAGAAGAGGATCATCCGTCTCAAGATCTTCCTAAGATGTGGTCAGAGTTGAGATATGTACAGACTGAGGGCACCATCTCCGCCTGGAGCAATTTTGTAGTGAAGTGTCTAATGACTTTTCAAGTGTGTTCAAACAGTTATTAGTGAACTAACACTACCACTTTTTTTTTTCCCATTAGGATTGCCATGAGAAAATTAGAGTGCTTTCCCAGCAAGCAGCTGCTGTTGTTAAGCAGGAAGGAGATGACAATGACCTCATAGAACGAATCCAGTCTGATGCCTACTTCAGTCCTATTCATTCCCAGTTGCAGCATTTACTGGATCCTTCTTCTTTCATTGGTCGTGCCCCCCAGCAGGTAAGCATCCATCAGAAGGCTGAGGAGTCTTCCCCTCTTTACCCTGTTGAATTGAAGAACAGAGGTTACTCATGTTGGTGCTCTTTTAACTAGGAGGCTAGTTAGAAATCAGAATACGTTGGTGGCAAAAGCTGTTTAAAAGATTTGGCTGTTTTGAGTTGCCTTAAGTATCTCTCCCCTCTGGATTTCTTGGTATTCTTTTCATCTCACAGTGGTATTGTAAGGGTTGAAATGCGTAGTGCTTAGTGTAAGGTAAGTACTTAATAAAATGTTATGTCATTTTCTCTTAGCCTTTGGGAAAAGACTAGTTTTATCTGTAGTAGACACAGACAAGGGGGTGAAGAGGAGGTTCATCACTTGGAAGCTGGTCAAGCGGGGCAGGGGAGGAGGAGGAACCAAGAATACCCTCATGGCAGCTGGGTGGAAATGGTGAGGCCATCTGACGGAACATAGGTTGGGCTGGGCTGTGGGAAGGTGGTCTATGTGGGCATTGTGGATTGAATTGCCTCTGGCTAGGGAGAGGGTTTTTTTTGGGGGGGAGGGGTGGATACTGGGGATTGAACTCAGGGGCACTCGACTACTGAGCCACATCCCCAGCCCTATTTTGTATTTTATTTAGAGACAAGGTCTCATTGACCCTAGTGCCTCACCATTGCTGAGGCCGGCTTTGAACTCGAGATCCTCCTGTCTCAGCCTCCCAAGCTGCTGGAGTTACAGGCGTGTGCCACTGTGTCCAGCTAGGGAGAGATTTTTGATAGGCATTTGAGGAAAACAGATGCTCAGTGTTGGAATAAAGCCTTATTAAATTAGATCTTAGTGATATCAACTGATGCTAATATTTTCTGAACATTTTATTTTGTATTTTTGCTTTCCTCTTTGGCAGGTACAGAGATTCTTAGAAGAGGAGGTATATCCCCTGTTAAAACCTTATGAAAGTGTGATGAAGGTGAAAGCAGAATTACGTTTGTAGAGTTGGAAGAGAATTAAATGAAAAATCATTGCTGGTTTGTTAACTTTATTGCTGACACATGAAAGTAATGTTATTGTAGTGCCTTGGTTTACAACAAGAATTGTTACCTTAAATTGATATAGTCCTTTTTTCTTTCTAAGGTTTAACACTGCATAACAAAGTGAACTGTTCTTAACTCTGTTTTGTTTTGTTTTTTCCTGCTGTTGTGGTTGTACTGGGATTGAACCCAGGGCTTTCTGCCACCCAGCTACATTCCCTGGCCTTTTTTTTTTTTCAAACCAGGTGTCACTAAGTTGCTGAGTCTGGCCTCAAACTTTTGACTTTCTGGCCTCTGCCTCCTGAGTTGCTTTGATTACAGGTGCGCTAAGGTCCCTGGCTGAAAAAAACCTGTTGTTTAGAAGATTTACATATGACCCAGAATTAGGAGAATAACTAAGATTTCATCTAACAAGGATAAATTTAAATCAGCTTTTAACTCAGTATGAGCCAGAACTGAGAAAACAGTTCCTGATCTAAGGGTAACCCAGAGCACCAACATCCAAAGAAGATTTTGTTGTAAAGTAACTCATCCCCATCAAGATGTGTTCTTATCAAATGTAGTCAACTGGACACAAATTTAACTAGTTAAATTTAGTTAGTTCTTTTTTTTTTTTTTTTATAGAGAGAGAGTGAGAGAGAAAGAGAATTTTTAATATTTATTTTTTTTTAGTTATCCGCGGACACATCTTTGTTTTGTATGTGGTGCTGAGGATTGAACCTGGGCCACACGCATGCCAGGCGAGCGCGTGACCGCTTGAGCCACATCCCCAGCCCCCCTAGTTAATTCTAAATGTAATTAGAAATCAAAACTAAGCTTGGTTTCTCTGCTCTGAATTGTGGTATGACATCTTTACCTCATGAGTGCTATGTATAGGGAAATTCTTAAGAGGCCTGTCTTCTATTCTAGACAGGAAGAAGCACATCAACAATACTAATATTGCATGGAGGAAGAGTGGCTTGATTATCTTTTGTCATAAGAGTTAAAACCAAGATCAGCGGCTGGGGTTGTGGCTCAGTGGTAGAGTGCTCACCTACTACGTGTAAGGCCCTGGGTTCGATCCTCAGTACCACATAAAAATAAAGGTATTGTGTTCAATTACAATTAAAATATGTGTATAATTTTTTTTTAAAGCCCAACGAGATCAGATCGGTATTTTTCTTTTTCATTTTTTTTTCTTTCCTTTTTGTAACCAGGGATTGAACCCAGGGATACTTAAGCATACATCCACAGCTCCTTTTTTCTCTTTGAGACAGGGTCTCACTAAATTGCTTAGGGCCTCTCTAAGTTAATTAGTTGGCTTTGAACTTGTGATCCTCCTCCTTCACCTCTCAAGCTGCTGGGATTTCAGGTGTGTTCCATTGTGCCTGGCTGAGTACCCATTATTAAAAGTCTGAGACAGGTTTGGATCCAGACATTGGAATGGTTAAGAGTGAGACTTCCCCTTGTCAGCTCAGGCAGAAGCTGAAAGCTACCTAATTGTTGGGAATGTTGTGAGGGAGGAAAGAAAGTTTCCTCATAGAAAACAAGGAAACAGATAACAACCTTGTTCTGCAATTCTGGTAAGCTTCTAATCTGCAGTAACTGGGGGTTTGGCATATTTTTCTTGCTGGGTAGTTTCAACAGGTGGCTTTGTTTGTGTTTCTTTCCTCTTCTATTCCCCTCCCTCCTCACCAATGCCAATGAAACCCTGGGGCCTCACATGCTAGGATGCTAGGCAGGTTCTCTACCACTGAGCTATATCCCCATCTTTTTAAAATTTTGAGACAGGGTCTCCCTAAGTCACCCAGGCTGGCTTTAAATTTGATGATCCTCCTGTCTTAGCCTTCAAAGCAGTTGGGCTTAGAGGTAAGCACTACTGTGCCTGGCCTGTTCCTTTTATATTTAATACACTTGTAATTATACTCTTAAGTATAATAGTATAACCTTATTTTCCCATGTAACATTTTAGAGGTATTTGGGTGAGCTACAGATTGGGTGAAAGAGAGAACACTTGTCCCTTGTTTAAGGTTTTAATTTAAATTCACAGCCAATGTGAGCAAACTTCAGGGTCATCTGGACACCAAGATCTAAATGGATCTTGGGCCAGCCAGCTTTTGGTTCAACTGTGAACACCTGGGCATTTGTTGCCTTCTTCCCTTTCCTAGATTTCAGTCAAGAACCAGGAGACAGCTGGGCACAGTGTCACTTGCCCATAATCCCAGCAGTTTGGGAGGCTGAGACAGGAGGATCTTGAGTTCAAAGCCAGCCTCAGCAATGGCGAGGTGCTAAGCAACTCAGTGAGACCCTGTCTCTAAGTAAAACACAAAATAGGGCTGGGATGTGGCTTAGTGGTCGAGTACCCCCGAGTTCAATCCCTGGTACCCAAAAAAAAAAAAAACCCAGAGCCTGATGTTTGTAAACATAACATGTCAAGTAGAAGCATAAGGGTTGGAATTTTCTGGAATGGTGTAGATTCTGGTTGGGTGTGAGGGTTAGGTGAGATTGGAATTGTACCTAAGATGTGGATTTATATTATTATTGTACCAGGGATTGAACTGAGGGGCACTTAACCACTGAGCCACATCCCCAGCCCTTTTTAATATTTTATTTAGATACAGGGTATCACTGAGTTGCTTAGGGCCTTGCTGAGTTGCTGAGGCTGGCTTTGAACTCACGATTCTGCTGTCTCAGCCTCCAACAGGCGTGCACCATCATTCCCCACCAAGATGTGTTCTTACCAAATGTAGTCAACTGGACACAAATTTAACTCATTAATTTAGTTAGTTCTAAATGTAACTAGAAATCAAAACTAAGCTTGGTTTCTCTGCTCTGAATGTGGTATGACATCTTTACCTCATGAGTGCTATGTATAAGGAAATTCTTAAGAGGCCTGTCTTCTGAAAAATGTAGTTTGAATGGTGAGTGTAGGTGGTAATCTGCCTTCATGGAAAGTTCAAACTGAAGAAATGGAGCTGGGTTTCTGGCTAGAATTTCAAGATCATCACTTCAGAGATACTACAGAGATGTCTGTACGTGCTACTTGGACAGAAGGTCAAATGAGAAATTAGTTTGTTTGTTTGTTTGTTTGTTTTAATTTGCTAGGGTACTCAACCACTGAACCACATCCCAGCCCTATTTTATATTGTATTTATAGACAGGGTCTCATTGAGTTGCTTAGCACCTTTCTGTTGCTGAGGCTGGCTTTGAACTCGTGATCCTCCTGTCTCAAGTCTCCTCTGAGCTCTGGGATTATAGGTGTGCACAACTATGCCTGGCAGAGAAATTAATTTTTGAGTGTATGAAAACAATTCAGCTACAAGACTTTGTATATCACTACTCATAATAAGGTTCTTTAGCCTTAGAAAAGTCATGCTTGATCTGGCCTTTCAGATTCTTTRTTTTTTAATTTTTTTTAAGCTGCAGATGAACACAATATCTTTACTTATTCATTTATTTTTTACGTGGTGCTGAGGACCAAACCCAGTGCCTCATGTGTGTGAAGCAAGCACTCTACCACTCAGCCCCAGCCCCAGCCCTGGCCTTTCAGATTCTGACTTAACCTTAATTGATTCTGCAAGTTCTGTGGTGGTCTTGGGACTTTTTCTCCCATAGTGGGGCATAAATTATGGTTAGGCAACATTCCAGCTCAGAGCGGAATAAGAGGTTGAAGGCATCTTTAGAAACTACTGCAAACCCCCTTTCACTAATCCCCACAGTGGAATTCCTGGGAAATACAGTTCACTTAATCCCAATGGAGGGATTAAGTAGCCACTTGTATATGAGGTTGCGTGGGAGAATGGAGCCATTCCAGTTTCTCTCCTGGAATAAACTGTCACTGCTATGACTCCAGGGCACAGCAAAGTAATCTATTAAAGTATAAAACTACAGGAAAATATTATACCTCTACCATAGTTTTATATGACAGCCATTATTTAAAAGATTTTTAGTTGTAGATAGACACAATACCTTTTATTTATTTTTATGGGTGCTGAGGATTGAACCCAGTGCTAGGCGAATGCTCTACAGCTGAGCCACAACCCCAGCCCCCCCCCCACAACATTCGTTTTTTTAAATGTAATCAGGATAGAGTATAGGAAAGTACATTTGAAACATACTATAATACAGAAAATCCAAACATAAAAATTAAAGAAGAATCTATCCCATAGTTTATTAAACAAGTGAATTGCTCTGTTTTTGCTTTTGTTTTGGTATGAGGGATTGAACCCAGGGGCTCTCATCACTTAGCCACATCCCCAGTCTTTTATTTCTTATTTTGAGACAGGGTCTCACTGTTTCTAAGAGTCTTATTAAATTGCCTTAGGAGTTCTGTTTGTTTGTTTTTGGTGGTGGTGCTAGAGATTGAACCCAGGAACTTGTGAATGCTAGGCAAGCACTCTACCAACTATTAAATTGCCTTAGGTGGCCTCAAAGTTTTGTGATCCTCCCAAGGAAAAAGTAATATATGTATTCTTTGTGTTTAAAAAGCTTCATTTCTTTGCTGGATGTGATGCTGTACACCTGTAATCCCAGTTACTCAGGAGGCTGAGGCCAGAAGAATTGTTATTTCAAGGTTGGACAAACTAGCCAAATCCTGTTTCCATATTTTTTGTGGTACCTAAAGAAACAAGTACTTGGGTTGGGGCTATAGCTCAGTTGGTAGAGTCCTTGCCTTGCATTCACAAGGCCCTGGGTTCAATATCTGGTACCCCCCATACACACAAAAAAAAAAAAAAAAGAAAAAGAAACAAGTACTTTTTATTTTTTATTTCTGATCTAGATTTTATACAAATTTTTTTATTGGGTTTTGTTTTTGTGGTGCTGGTGGTAGAACTTGGGGCCTCTTGCATGCTAGGTAAGCACTCTACCTTTGAGCTACACCCCAGCCCCCACCAAGAATTTTTTTCAGTGCCCATCTGCACTGGGATTACAGCAGTGAGCAAGACAGTCTGTCTGTGTTTCTGGTGCAGAAAGCAAACTACACAAAGGAGTTTGAGACTCCTCAATAAGTAAGATGTAATTCAACATCTGAGTACTTTAAATTTTGTAAATTAAACTGGGAAAAGGTGCTCTTGAAATGGTGCAACTTTTCAATTACAAGAACTTCACACTGCTGATCTTGGGTTTTAGCTGGTGAAATGTTTCATGTTCACTCACCATGGCGCAGATGTGTATTCTTACTTGAGTGGTGCTTGGCAGATTGTTACAGTATACCTGGCTCCATCTACACCCATCTGGCATTGCCAGAATCAAGAAGGGCCTCATCCTGGGTACTGTGTCCTACGAAGCTTTTTAAAATTTGACATTTTTCTTTCTCTCATCTTAAGTAATGGAAGTTGTGTGTGAGTGGAATTCCTACAAAACATTTACAAATTAATGTTTCATGAAGTTAGACAGTCTCCCATTCCTTAAAAGGGATGTCTTTTAGAGTCAATATTAAGCTCTAACAAGTGTTCCACTGGAGTGCCAGTGAAGTGCTAGAAGCTTTACTTGTCAGAAGCATTGACATATCTTTAGTTTTCTATAATGTCTGTTGGAAAAGTAGGCAGAAATGATGAGCCCAATTTGAGACCCTGTCTTAATAATAAATGAGAATGTAGTTTAGTGGTCAAGCACCCCTGGCTTCAATCCCCAGTACTGCAACAACAACAAAATTGGTGAGGTTGGGAAGACGAGGGGGATCTAGTATTCATTGCTTTAAGGTTTTTTTTGTTTTGTTTTGTTTTTTTGAGAGAGGGGAGAGAGAGAGAGAGAATTTTTTTAATATTTATTTTTTAGTTCTCAGCGGACACAACATCTTTGTTGGTATGTGGTGCTGAGGATCGAACCCCGGCCGCACGCATACCAGGCGAGCGCGCTACCGCTTGAGCCACATCCCCAGCCCTAAGGTTATTTTTTCTTTTGCAGTACTGGGGATTTTAACCCAGGGGTGCTCCACCACCGAGCTACATCCCCAGTTTTTTTTTTGTTTTGTTTTATTTGAGACCTCAACCTGGGGATCCTCCTCCTTCAGCCTCCCAAATTAATGGGATTACAAGTGTGGGCCACCATGCTCTGTACTTTAATGTGTTTTCTTTTTTTAATATATATATATATATATATATTAGTTTTAGGTGGATACAATATTTTATTTTTATGTGGTGCTGAGAATCGAACCCAGTGCCTCATGCATGCTAGGCAAGCGCTATACCCCTTGAGCCACATTCCCAGCCCCATTAATGTGATTTCTTTTAAAGGCAGAATTCCAAGCAGTGTTGTGATTGGGAAGAAAAGTAATCTTAAAAAATAGGTTCAGAACCTGTTCTGCCATTTAATTAGCTCTTATTTTGGCCTGGTCCTCCTTCCCTAAAATGGGAATGATACAATTCACTCTGCTTTCATCACATAAATGTTTCGAAGACTTGCCAAAATGCTTGGTAGATCACGCATGGTACAGTGAGGGCGTGATTTAAGACTGGCTTGTGTTAGCCTTTGCCTGTGCTCTGATACCACCTGTCAACACCATTAGGAGTCCTTGTTTAGGCTAATAAGCACCTCTCAAACTAAATTTACGTGTTCAGAATTGGGCGAAAAGTCTTGGGGAAAATTTCTGTAATGTGTGGTAGCTTTGGGTGATTTTTCTCAGGCATGTTCTTTCCAAGCTAGGCATAGGAGAGATGGGCCACCGTTTTCCTGACTGTTGACTCCTAGCAACCACAAGTCCACATTCTCATTTTATGGATGAGCTCAATGTTAATAGGCTACGTGGCTCAGAAGCAGGCCCTCTGACAGCGCGCCCAGCATCACACATGCGGAGGGTGGACTTCTTGGGCATGACCTCGACCAATCTGTTTTGCATTGTGTAAGAGTGAACCAAGCTGTGTTCTGTGCACCAGCAAGGAATGGCCGCTCCCTGGCCTTGCCGCGCCCACCCGGCGCGGACTGCTGGTTCTCTCCAAACTGCGTAAGGCTCGGCACCCCTAGGCTAAGAGCCGGTCTCCAAAGCCGCTCGAGCCGGGTCCTGGCGCGAAGGTGCTAAGCTCGGGAACGACTACTGCCCCCAGCATGCCCCGCGGCTGGCCGCGCGTGCGCAGAGGTGCCGCAGCGCGCTGACGGGGAGCGAGCCTCGGGTCCGCGAGCGCGTTCGGGATTGGCGCTGAGGTGGGCGCCGGCAGGTGAGTGCGCCGAGACCCGGAGAGTGGCGCCGGCGCCCACCTTCCCCTGGGGTGGTGGCTGCTTGGCAGCTGTACTCTGACCCAGCGACGGACCGGCCGTAGGCGCGGTTGAGGAGCGACGGGCGAGGCCTGCGGGCTCGGGGCCCTGCGTGCGCTGGCCGGCTCCGTGCAGGGCCCGCGGGTCGGTGGCGCCCCGGACGCAGGCCGCCGGGCTGCGGACTGCGGGCYCTGGCGGCTGGGAAGGATTTTATGGAAAGCGGTGCACCTGCCGCCCGGGCGTCTTGAGGACGGCTGCCTCCAGCACGTTCGCCGGCGCTGCCTCCACGGGTTTCGCTGGCGCCTTGGCCTTGGCGGCTCACTGCGGGCCCCGCGGGGGCGCCTCGGGGAAGCGAGGCGTGCGGTAGCCAGGCCGCCCCTCGTGGGTGTGCCCGGAATTTTGAAAATTAGAGTCTCGTTACCGGGAGGCAAGAGCTCCCGCCCGGGAGACAGAGGTTAGGTCACAGAGCTCGGAAATATTCCAGGAATATTCAGAGTCAGATTGGTAGAAAAATAGGTTTTATTCAGAGCAGATTTGAAGGAAGATGGCAGAAACTTCGTTGTTTCAAAAGTTCCGTCTCCAAAAGGCTCTGTGGCAAGGAAAGTTGTTAGGAGGGGAAGGGGCGTAGTAGGACAAAAGACAGGACTTTCACAGGTGTTCACAGGTTCCAGTCGCTGGAACCTCCTTATGGCTTAAAGGAGCGAGGGCTTCTGTGGCAGGATGGATCTCTCTCTCTCTCTCTCTCTCTCTCTCTCTCTCTCTCTCTCACTCTCTCAGATAAACACCTTGTTATTTATTTATGTATGTATTTTGGAACCAAGGGGTTGAATCCAGGGTCGCTTAACCACTGACACATCCCCAGCTCTTTTTTTGTTTTTATTTTCAGACCGGGTCTTGATAAGTACTTAGGGTCTAGATGATTTGATGAGGCTGGTCTTGAACTTGTGATCCTCCTGCCTCAGCCTTCCTAATCGCTGAGATTACAGGTATGGAACACTGGGCTCTGCAACACCTTATCTTTTTAACTGAGAAGAGAAAGTACTACAGAGGGCTTTCTTCAGAACTTAATGTACCAAAAGAGAGGTTGTTAGTGATAGAGAAACAGATTGGAGGAACAGTTGACAAGGGTCTTAGCCTCCCCGTCATCTCTCTCAGGAGGAAGCCATTCTCAAATTCAGATGAAGTCCAGTGCAAATTCAGTCTGTTTCAATATTTGTGTTGCTGATTCAGGCTACTTTTTTTTTTAATGGACCTTTATTTTATTCATTTGTTTTTATGTGGTGCTGAGAATCGAACTTAGTGACTCACATGTGCTAGGCAAGTGCCCTACCGCTGAGCTACAAGGAGAGCCCCAGGCTGCTTTTAATATGGGATAAAATAAAGATGCTTTAAAGATTCTTTTCAGTGACTACATGACTGTATTGAACTTTCCAATAACTTCCAGTCTTTTCAGACTAGTGCTTTATGCAAAATTTATGGTAGATGGTTGTATGTGTGTGTGTGTGTGTGTGTGTGTGTGTGTGTGTGTGTGTGTGTATGTATTGGGGGGATGGCAATTGAATCCACTGAGCCACATTCCCAGCCATTTTTAAACTTTATTTTGAGTTGGGGTCTGACCATGTTGCCCAAGCTGGCCTTAAACTTGGGATCCTCCTGCTTCAGCCTCCATAGTCACTGGGATTACAAGTCTGTGATTCCTGGCTCTTCTTGGTTTAGTTTGGTTTAGTTTTGGATGTTTTTTGTGGACTGTTTGGAGATGTTCTGGAATGTTTTCCTTTTAATTTTTTCTTTGTAAGTTCAAGTTCTTAATCAGGCTAATTCACACACAAAAAAGAAAAAAAATATGTTTTCAACTTTAACTGGTTTGCATGTAGTTTTTTTGGCTATAGTTATGATTAAGTTTGTAGGTACATATATTTTCCTCTTCCATGTCTCCCAATTCTCTCTGTACTCTAACCTTAAAGATATATCTTCTTTTACATGTTCATTTCTGTTCTCCTTGATTGATTTGTAAGTGATTTTGAGTTTGATCTTTTTGTTTTTTGATAATTTTGGTAATTCTAAGTAAATGTAGTGTTTCGTTGTTGTTTTTGGTACTATTGAACCCAGAGGCACTTTACCAATGAGCTGCATCCCCAGTCCTTCACCTCTCCCCATGCCTTTTTATTTTTGATTTTGAGACAAGATTTCACCAAGTTGCTTAGGGTCTCTGGCCTGGAATTTGTGATCCTCCTGCCTCGACTTCCCAAGTTGCTGGAATTACAGGTGTGTGCTACCATGCCTGCCAGTAAATGTAGCTTAAGATTTTTTTAATTTTAATCTTTATTTATTTGTTGTTATTATTTTTTGCAGTGCTGGAGTTCAGACCCAGGGCCTCATACATTCTAGACATGCATTCTACCACTAAGCCACATCCCAGCCCCCTTTATTTTTTTGGTGCTAGGCATTGTACCTAGAATCTGGCTGCACTACTGAACTACATACCACCAACACCTGAATGTAGCTTTTGCATCACTAATTTTTTGTGACAGCCTCAGCTTTAGTCCTCTTCCCTATCCTTTGTTAAGCATGGAAGTATGTGATCTATGGAACAGAGATAAGTGGTGAAGTGTTTATGTAGATTATATATGGGTAATAGGTGAACATGACCTATAACCAGAACATTAACTTTAAAAGGTTCTAGGATGCTGGGGGTGTAGCTCAGTGGTAGAGCACTTCCCTAGCATTTGTGAAGCCCTGGGTTCCATCCCCAACACTGGGAAAGGGGGGGGGAGGGAGGGGGAGCAGTGAACAAAATATTACTTCCATATAAAAATGTATACTAAGGGGCTGGGGATAAAACTCAGTAGAGTGCTTGCCCTGGGTTCAATCCCCAACACCACCACCAAAAAAAAAAAAAAAAAGTATACTTACCTTCCTTGGGAATTTGTCACATTGACAGAAAAGTAGTACTTTGCAGAAATAAACCTGATATTGGAGTGAAATTTGAGAAGGAACTCAGGAGATAATTATCTCTTATTATTATACAGCCATCTTTCTGTGCCTGGACTGGATTCAAGAACACCTTCCCAGCTTAGAATCTTAAGAAGTGTTCTGTGTGTGTGTATTTCTTCTCGGTTTCCAGTGAAGGTTTTGGCAATAGCCCAAAATCTTGTACATTGGTGATTTAACATCAGCTTCCTGGGCTCATTCACCAGATTGTCTATGTCTCAGCTGGTAACAGCAGTAATTTTCCACAGCAGCCATTCATGATTTCATGCACACTGTTACAGGAAGTGGGAATAGCACAAAGTGTGGTACACACAGAAGAAATAAAGATCCTGTTTCTTTGTCATTGTATATTACACATACACTTGTACAGGAAATGCAGATTGGAACGCAAGCCAGGTGGGAGAGGTTAGAACACCAGAGTCAGGCTTCTACCTATATTAATACTCATTGATAACAGTTATTGAATGCCTGAAGTTTCACAGGTACTGTAATTGTCACAGTGAGCTGTAGGTATTCTATTTTACATACGTGTAAATTGAGACACAGGAGTTAAGATAATTTACTCACACTGCAACAAAGCCAGAAGCTCTAAACTCCTGCTCTTTCAACTGTGTTGTATTACCTTATCAACAAACATATTCATGTCTTTCTCATTCCTTTTCATTTTAATGGAGTATGAGGGTTGAACCCAGACATTTGGACATGCTAGGCAAATGCTGTACCTCTGAACTTTACTCCCAGCCCCCTCTTTCTCATTCTTAAAAACACACACAACTTTTCCTGTGATCTTCTAAAAATAATTGCCATTTCTCCTACTTTTCCTTTCTAGACTTGTCCTTATACAGCAAACTCCATACCTCTTTCTTCCGTTTACTCCTTAATGCATTGTAGTATGGTTTGCATGCTCAATTCTACTGCAACTGCTCTCATGAACTCCAGTCACCCATTGAATATCTACGTGTGTGTCATCTTTAGGCTTATAAAGATGCTGAGGCAGTTTTGTCCCTGAGAGTTTAGGGACTAAAAGGGAGAAAGGGGTTTATACATGTTAGTATAATATGTAACTATTGGCTGGGCATTCTTTTTTAAAAAAATATTTATTTTTTAGTTTTAGGTGGACACAATATCTTTTATTTTACATTTTATGTGGTGCTAAGGATTGAACCCAGTACCTCAAGCATGGTAGGCGAGCACTCTACCACTGAGCCACAATTCCAGCCCCTGGGCATTCTTTATAGTCTTGGGAGTTGGGGAAGGGATACTTTATTGAGAAGGTGCCACTGGGCTGCCAACAAGGAAAAACATTAAATTGCTCTAGAAGTATGCATGTTTAGAAGTATGTATGTCTTTTTGGGAGAAGCTGTCTCTCTTCAGTGAAAGATGACATGGTTGAGAGATAAAGTATAGGTTTTAGAGACTTGACAGGCCTAGGAACTGAGCTACAATCACTTCTTTGTAATATCTGCTTTCAGTGTAAGCTCTATGAAAGTGGGCCTTTGTCTTCTTCACCTCACCCCTTGTCTCCTAGAATAGTGGTAGGTACTTGGTAACTGTTGAATGAATGCTTCACAGGATTGTTGTGCTCAACACATGGTAGATATTAGTAGTACCAGTGGTAGCATAGGACTGAAGTAATGAGGCCAAGTTTTCAGTCTGTTTTATAACGGATCTTTACAGTACTACTGTTTGAATATTACACAGTTAATCAACTCCCCTTCCTTTTGAAAATTTAGGCATTAGGTTGTTTTAGCCTATCTAGCATCTAGTCCAGGTTCTTCTGGGAACAACAGCTCAGTTTTTCTTTGGAAACAGTTCATCCCTGACCACGTGGGTAGTGGATACGTGACCCATGTTGGATCAGCAGTTAGTTAGATGCATTCCTTCTTTAATTTGAATCATAGGTTGAATCTTAGGTTGAATTTTGTCACACAATGACACACAGTTGAAGCTTCTTCATAACCATGTGCTAATT